CCGCCTCTCATTGCTGCACACAGCATATGCTCACAATCCAGATGAGAGGGACACCAAATCCCAGTCGGCGGGTGTGTCATCTGCTTCCAAACCTGCTACACAAATTATCATCCAATGGATTCCGGCTCCAGGAATGTTCTCTGTTCACTAGTGGAGATCCAGGGAGATGAGAGCCAAGTGACCCCTCGCATCACCGATGAACTACAACTCTCAGCATGCCGCCTGACAGAGTCTACACCTCCAAATTCCCCTTCAAAGAGCTCCCTTATTGGTTGTTTTGTTCTTCTGTTCCCCAAACATAGCTCCATATCTTCTAGTGATGGGGGGGGGGGGGGGGGCGAATGAGTGCTTAGAACATATCCGGTCCATAAACCAGAGGCTCTGATTGGACGGTTGGATAAATGGCTCTATATTTAGGACGTATCCGGTCTATAAACCAGAGGCTCTGATTGGACGGTTGGATAAATGGTTCTATATTTAGGATGTATCCGGTCTATAAACCAGAGGCTCTGATTGGACGGTTGGATAAATGGTTCTATATTTAGGATGTATCCGGTCTATAAACCAGAGGCTCTGATTGGACGGTTGGATAAATGGTTCTATATTTAGGATGTATCCGGTCTATAAACCAGAGCCTCTGATTGGATGGTTGGATAAATGGCTCTATATATAGGACTTATTTGGTCTATAAACCAGAGGCTCTGATTGGACAGTTGGATAAATGGTTCTATATTTAGGATGTATCCGGTCTATAAACCAGAGGCTCTGATTGGACGGTTGGATAAACGGTTTCTATATTTAGGATGTATCCGGTCTATAAACCAGCCATGTTGTAGAAGGACCGGCTGACCCAGGAGCCCTCGGTGCGGATTTCTGGTCAGACCCGTTTTGCGCGGTTATCTCTGTCATGGCTGCACACGTGTGCATGTATGAAATGGCATTCCCCTCTCATGCATGGATAAACGCTGGAGCTGTCGGCTCCGCTCACCGTCACCTGGCTCCGGTCTGGAAGTGTGAGGACTCGGAAATCTCATCTGAAAGGGAATCCAAAAGAGTTCAGTCCAGGCAAAGAAAAGATGAGGTGATGAAATTCCTTTGACTGACAGGTTGAGATGGCTGCAGGGTGACCCCCAACCCCCTCGTGAGTCCGGACACTTTCCCCCCCTTCCAGTCCGGACACTTTCCCCCCCTTCCAGTCCGGACACTTTCCCCCCCTTCCAGTCCGGACACTTCCCCCCCTTCCAGTCCGGACACTTTCACCCCCTTCCAGTCCGGACACTTTCCCCCCTTCCAGTCCAGACACTTTCCCCCCTTCCACTCCGGACACTTTCCCCCCCCCTTCCAGTCTGGACACTTTCCCCCCTTCCAGTCCAGACACTTTCCCCCCTTCCAGTCCGGACACTTTCACCCCCTTCCAGTCCGGAGACTTTCCCCCCCTTCCAGTCCGGACACTTTCACCCCCTTCCAGTCCGGACACTTTCCACCCCTTCCAGTCCGGACACTTTCATCCCCTTCCAGTCCAGACACTTTCCACCCCTTCCAGTCCGGACACTTTCACCCCCTTCCAGTTCGAACACTCTCACCTCCTTCCAGTCCGGACACTTTCCCCCCTTCCAGTCCGGAGACTTTCCCCCCCTTCCAGTCTGGACACTTTCACCCCCTTCCAGTCCGGAGACTTTCCCCCCTTCCAGTCCGGACACTTTCACCCCCTTCCAGTCCGGACACTTTCACCCCCTTCCAGTCCGGACACTTTCACCCCCTTCCAGTCCGGAGACTTTCCCCCCCTTCCAGACCGGACACTTTCACCCCCCTTCCAGTCCGGACACTTTCACCCCCTTCCAGTCCAGACACTTTCACCCCCTTCCAGTCCGGACACTTTCACCCCCTTCCAGTCCAGACACTTTCCCCCCCTTCCAGACCGGACACTTTCACCCCCCTTCCAGTCCGGACACTTTCACCCCCTTCCAGTCCAGACACTTTCACCCCCTTCCAGTCCGGACACTTTCACCCCCTTCCAGTCCAGACACTTTCACCCCCTTCCAGTCCGGACACTTTCCCCCCCTTCCAGTCCGGACGCTTTCACCCCCTTCCAGTCCAGACGCTTTCCCCCCCTTCCAGTCCGGACGCTTTCCCCCCTTCCAGTCCGGACACTTCCCCCCCTTCCAGTCCGGACACTTTCCCCCCCTTCCAGTCCGGACACTTTCCCCCCCTTCCAGTCCGGGACGCTTTCCCCCCTTCCCAGTCCAGACACTTTCCCCCCTTCCAGTCCGGACGCTTTCCCCCCTTCCAGTCCGGACACTTTCCCCCCCTTCCAGTCCGGACACTTTCCCCCCCCTTCCAGTCCGGACACTTTCCCCCTTCCAGTCCGGACACTTTCCCCCCTTTATTTTGGCGGTATTTATTCATCGCTGGGATATTTTTTTTTTTTGCTATATAAATGAAAAAGTCCAAAAATTTTGAAAAAAAAAAGTGTTTTTCTTATAAAATTTGTGCATATAAATAATCTTTCTTCATAAATCTCGGCCAAAATGTATTCAGTTATCTTTTTAGTAAAAGAAAAAAAAAAAAAACCCAAATTCGTTTATAACCAAAAATTTATAATTTTTCAAAATTTTTGTTTACATTTTTATTTAATTTTTTTATATTATTATTTGTTTTTTTTTTACATACTGTCACCCTAGCAGTAGTGTCCCCATGGTGACACTGTACTACTTGTGGGGGGGTGATGAAGATTTTTTATTTTTTTTTTTACACTGATTGCTTTTACACCCATAAAGGCTGTAAAAGCAATCATTTCTCCTTCTCTCTGCATTCTTGCAGCCATTGAGAAATACTGTGTGAGCTGTGATTGGTCACAGCTTGTCACATGGTACAAGGCTGTTGTGAATGGCCCTGTACCATGTGATCTCTGTGATCATTCAGAGATTTCACATGTAGTAAGCAATGATGTCAGGAAGTGAGATCTTTCTTACTACTGTTCATGTGATCACTGATTGGCCAATCAGTGATCACATGATCGGGACCTCGCACAGAGGTCCCGTACAGCAATCGGTGTTCTCCGGACACAGTGGGCACCAGATCGCGGTGCTGCACGCTCCCTGGGAGCCCGCACAAGCAGGGAAATGGGGAGGACATTTATAAATGGCAACCAGCCCCTGCACTGCTCCAGTCCAGCCATTTATATACATGGGCCAGATGGGAAGTGGGTAATCCACATGTAAGTGATGGAACTAATGGATTGGTGGGTAAGATATCTCTTTCTGCTGATGGCAGAAAGGTGTGCAAGAAGGTGGATATCCCTGGAGGTGTCTGTAACTTGGAGAATTGCTGGAAGAGTGAATCTTTATATCACTAGAGGGGTCACCAGCAGGAGGAAGGAGGTCCTGATTCCTCTATATAGATCTTTATATCACTAGAGGGGTCACCGGCAGGAGGAAGGAGGTCCTGATTCCCCTATATAGATCCTATCACCAGAGGGGGTCACCAGCAGGAGGAAGAAGGTCCTGATTCCTCTATATAGATCTATCACTAGAGGGGTCACCGGCAGGAGGAAGGAGGTCCTGATTCCCCTATATAGATCCTATCACTAGAGGGGTCACCGGCAGGAGGAAGGAGGTCCCGATTCCTCTATATAGATCTTTATATCACTAGAGGGGTCACCGGCAGGAGGAAGGAGGTCCTGATTCCTCTATATAGATCCTATCACTAGAGGGGTCACCGGCAGGAGGAAGGAGGTCCTGATTCCTCTATATAGATCCTATCAATAGAGGGGTCACCGGCAGGAGGAAGGAGGTCCTGATTCCTCTATATAGATCCTATCACTAGAGGGGTCACCAGCAGGAGGAAGGAGGTCCTGATTCCCCTATATAGATCCTATCACCAGAGGGGTCACCAGCAGGAGGAAGGAGGTCCTGATTCCTCTATATAGATCCTATCACTAGAGGGGTCACCAGCAGGAGGAAGGAGGTTCTGATTCCCCTATATAGATCCTATCACCAGAGGGGTCACCGGCAGGAGGAAGAAGGTCCTGATTCCTCTATATAGATCTATCACTAGAGGGGTCACCGGCAGGAGGAAGGAGGTCCTGATTCCCCTATATAGATCCTATCACTAGAGGGGTCACCGGCAGGAGGAAGAAGGTCCTGATTCCTCTATATAGATCCTATCACTAGAGGGGTCACCGGCAGGAGGAAGGAGGGGTCCTGATTCCTCTATATAGATCTATCACTAGAGGGGTCACCGGCGGGAGGAAGGAGGTCCCGATTCCTCTATATAAATCTTTATATCACTAGAGGGGTCACCGGCAGGAGAAAGGAGGTCCTGATTCCTCTATATAGATCTATCACTAGAGGGTCACCGGCAGGAGGAAGGAGGTCCTGATTCCTCTATATAGATCTATCACTAGAGGGGTCACCGGCAGGAGGAAGGAGGTCCTGATTCCTCTATATAGATCCTATCACTAGAGGGGTCACCGGCAGGAGGAAGGAGGTCCTGATTCCTCTATATAGATCCTATCACTAGAGGGGTCACCGGCAGGAGGAAGGAGGTCCTGATTCCTCTATATAGATCTTTATATCACTAGAGGGGTCACCGGCATTAACATACATGAACACTCCATATTCCACAGGACTTTTCCGGTGATCACAGATCCCATGTTATATGAATAGCCGTGTGGAGAGCCCAACGTGTTTCAGTAAACTCTTCTTCAGGGTGTGAGAGTGACATACAAAGAGGACAACTAAAGTTGGCCTTATATGTTACAACCAATGGTCCATGTATTACCCGTCTCTCCACCAGGTATCATCCCCACCCACAGGGAGTAGGGGGTACATGCATGGAACCCCCAGAGGTTCCCCCACCCATCACATAATGTACTCTATATTGCCAAAAGTATTGGCCCCCCCCCCCCCCCCCCCCATCATGTGATTCAGGTGTTCCAATCCCCTCCATATCATGTAATTCAGGTGCTCCAATCCCTTCCCAATCATGTGATTCAGGTGTTCCAATCCTGTCCATATCATGTGATTCAGGTGTTCCAATCCCCTCCCAATCATGAGATTCAGGTGTTCCAATCCCCTCCCAATCATGTGATTCAGGTGTTCCAATCCCCTCACAATCATGTGATTCAGGTGTTCCAATCCCCTCCATATCATGTGATTCAGGTGTTCCAATCCCCTCCATGGACACAGGTGTATACAATCAAGCCCCTAGGCATGCAGACTGCTTCTACAAACATTGGTGAAAGAATGGGTCGCTCTCAGGAGCTCAGTGACTCCAAGCGTGGTCCCGTGATAGGTGGCCACCTGTGCAATAAGTCCATCCGTGACATTTCCTGGCTACTAAATATTCCACGCTCAACTGTTAGTGGGATTATAACAAAGTGGAAGCCACTGGGAACAACAGCCACTCAGCCACCAAGTGGTAGGCCACGTCACATGACAGGGCGGGGTCAGCGCATGCTGAAGCGCACAGTGCGCAGAAGTCGCCAACTGTCTGCAGAGTCAATAGCTAAAGACCTCCAAACTTGGTGTGGCCTTCAGATGAGCCCAACAACAGTGCGTAGAGAGCTTCATGGAATGGGTTTCCATGGCCGAGCAGCTGCATCCTTCCATCACCAAGTGCAATGCAAAGCGTCGGATGCAGTGGTGTAAAGCATGCCGCCACTGGACTCTAGAGCAGAGGAGACATGTTCTCTGGAGTGACCAATCACGCTTCTCTGTCTGGCCAGCTGATGGACGTGTCTGGGTTTGGCGGTTGCCAGGAGAACGGTACTTGCCTGACTGCATTGTGCCAAGTGTAAAGTTTGGTGGAGGGGGGATTATGGTGTGGGGTGTTTTTCAGGGGTTGGGCTTGGCCCCCTAGTTCCAGTGAAGGGAACTCTTAAGGCGACATTTTGGACATTTCATGTTCACAACTTTGTGGGAAGAGTTTCTAAAAACAAGCCGTGGCAACCTATCCCGGTGTTTGGGTTTAAGTTAGCCCCTTTAAGGCCGCAGTCACAGTTGATCTGGGCATCTTTGTTCATTTTTATAGGCCTTTTTTTTGGGGTTGTTTTTTGAGTATTTTTGTTTTGCAAAGTGGAACCTACGCTTCTATCGGAAATTGCTTAGAGGGTTCTTTACAGTTAGAGCAGCAAAAATGTGGAACTAATTTCCCAAGGCAATTCCCATTGAAATGCTAATAAAGATATTAATAAAAATATATCTAAAAAAAATAAATGTGCATTGAATTATTAATAAAGATATTAATTAAAATATAAAAAATTAAATATATTAACGTACGTACCCTGGCTGGAAGGCACAGCATCGTAGGATTTTTGTTTGCAAAGTTGAACTTACGCTTTTTTCTGAAATTGCTCAGAGGGTTCTTTACAGTTAGAGCAGCAAAAATGCGGAACTCACTTCCCAAGGCAATTCCCATTGAAATGCTAATAAAGATAATAATAAATATATATACGTAAAAAATAAATGTACGCTGAATTATTAATAAAGATATTAATTAAAATATAAACAAAAGAAATATATTAATGCACGTGCCCTGGCTGGAAGGCACAGCATTGTGCGCTTTGTTTTTTTTGCAAAGTGCAACCTACACTTTTATCTTAAAATGTTTAGAGGGTTCTTCACAGTTAGAGCAGCAAAAATGTGGAACTCACTTCCCAAGGTAATTGAAATGTTAATAAAGATGTTACTAAAAATGTATTTAAAAAAATAATAATTTTTTGCTGAATTATTAATAAAGCTATTAATTATATATATAAAAAATGAAATATATTAATGCATGTGCATGCAAGGAAGCGCTGGCTGGAAAGGCACAGCATTGTGGGTTTTTTTGCAAAGTGGAACCTACTCTTTCATCTGAAATTGCTTCAGTGGGTTCTTTACATTTAGAGCTGCAATACTGTAATGTGGAACTGACATCGGAGGGTTCCCCCCGACTTTTAAATTGTGCAACTTCGCTGTAAGTCGCACGATATCAAAGTCGGGCTCGATGGGGGTTAAGGCCACTTGGGGGGGGGATTTGCCTTCACTTCATTTTTGACACAGCAGGAAGTCAGAGAAAATCTCTCCAAAGCGAGTGAAACTTTGGATGATTTCCCGTTAATTCTGTCCCGGTGATGACTGTAATATTTTGGATCGCTCCTCGCTAACGGTCACCAGTATGCGGGGGGATGGGACAAGGACATTTGTAGAAACCTGACAGAGGTCCTACCCTTTCCAAAACTCCAAAAATAATAAAGTTTCTGTCTGGGGATGAAGAGGTTAAATCTGCGGGTGGCGGTGGAAGTCTCCGGCGTGCTCTGATCACACAGACTGGGAGAATTATTCCCCATTTTGTGGTCCGCTATGCAGAAAAATAATCGAATCCGCTGTTTGATTTACTCTATTAAATCTCTTTCACTGAACGCGCTCATTCATCTGTGCCGCCGAGGCATCGCCGCCATCGCCACCACTGCCGCCATGCCATCGCCACCACCGCCGCCGTGCCACCGCCACCGTGCCACCGCCACCGTGCCACCGCCACCACCGCCGCCGTGCCATCGCCACCACCGCCGCCGCCGTGCCACTTCCGCCGCCGAGCCATCACCACCACTGCCGCTTTGCCACCGCCACCACCGCCGCTGAGCCATCACCACCACCGAGCCATCGTCACCACCGCCACCGCCGCCACCACCGCCGCCGCGCAGAGCCGCCACCGAGCCATCGCCACCACCGCGCCACCGCCACCACCGCCGCGTAGAGCCACCACACCGCTGCCAAGCAGAGCCACCGCCACAGCTGGACCCCTCAGCTCGTTGCGCACGGGTCAGATTACACGCAGAGTGGAACTCCTCAGCTCATTGCGCATGGGTCAGATTACACACACAGCTGAACCCTCAGCTCACTGCATATGGGTCAGATTACACGCACAGCTGAACCCCTCAGCTCATTGCGCATGGGTCAGATTACACGCACAGTGGAACCCCTCAGCTCATTGCGCATGGGTCAGATTACATGCACAGCGGAACCCCTCAGCTCATTGCGCATGGGTCAGATTACACGCACAGCTGAACCCCTCAGCTCATTGCGCACGGGTCAGATTACACGCACAGCTGAACCCTCAGCTCACTGCACATGGGTCAGATTACACGCACAGCTGAACCCCTCAGCTCATTGCGCATGGGTCAGATTACACACACAGCTGAACCCTCAGCTCACTGCACATGGGTCAGATTACACGCACAGTGGAACCCCTCAGCTCACTGCGCATGGGTCAGATTACACGCACAGCTGAACCCCTCAGCTCATTGCGCACGGGTCAGATTACACGCACAGTGGAACCCCTCAGCTCACTGCGCATGGGTCAGATTACACGCACAGCGGAACCCCTCAGCTCATTCCGCACGGGTCAGATTACACGCACAGCGGAACCCCTCAGCTCACTGCGCACAGGTCAGATTACACGCACAGTGGAACCCCTCAGCTCATTGCGCACAGGTCAGATTACACACACAGCTGAACCCCTCAGCTCATTGCGCACAGGTCAGATTACACACACAGCTGAACCCCTCAGCTCATTGCGCACAGGTCAGATTACACACACAGCTGAACCCCTCAGCTCATTGCGCACAGGTCAGATTACACGCACAGCGGAACCCCTCAGCTCATTGCGCACAGGTCAGATTACACGCACAGCTGAACCCTCGTAGGAGTGGCTCTTCCACCTCCCCCTCCCCCAGCTCTGTACAGACTTTCAATCAGAGAGAGACAGTCTGAAATAAAAAATCTTCTGCCCACCTATCACATGACACCCTGCAATGCGCTCAACTAATATTAAATCTTTATTTGTAAAAGAAAAGAATTTATGTCAACAATAACATAAAATATATAAACATATTATTAAAAAAAAATTGTAAAATAAAACTTGCCCCCCCACCCACCACCACCAATCACAGTTCCTCCCCCCTTGAAGTCCGACGAGAGTGCGGATGGCTGCTGATCTATTTTGTTAGTGGGATCCCAGAAATCGCCGCCACACGTGACATCGCTGCGCTGCTGAATAATTAAGCGGGGGAAGTCGTCTTCATTTTGCGTCGCGTGATTAAGCTGTTTGAAAAGGCGGCGGAAAACGAGCGCCGATACATCTTTAATGACTTCGTATCATAACATTTCCAGCATCCTCCAACATCCATTGGCTGCGGCGGAAACCGCCAGGAAATTAAACGCACAACCGCGTCTATTATTTTATGACTCGAATGCTTTTTTTTTGTTTGCGATTTTATTTTATTTTACTCCGGGTGACAAAATTGGGAATTAACCCGTTCATGGCCGGCCAGAGGAAGTGCAAAGTGATACTTTGTCAGCGAGACATTTTATTCTGATACTTTATGAAACTATTTTTTGCTACGTCTCGCTGTCACTGCGCATTTCTTCTGAATACGTATAAGTAATGGGGGGGGGATTCAGTGAATAGATTCCACATGTGGGATTAGAAGGGATTTTCTTCCCCCCCTGCGAGGTGCATGTAAGTGGGGACTATTATGGGGGCTGTGATATTAGGGGGACTCTAATGGGAACCCTGATGTAAGGGGGGACTATTATACGGACACACACATGCACGCACCTGGACCCCGCCCCTTCTCTCTTCTCATTGGCTCACTAGCTGTGATTGACAGCAGTGGCAGCCAGTGGGAACCATTTCACAGGAATAGGGATTTTAGTGAATTTTTGGGGTGGATTTAGGTTATTACATTTATGGACATTTTTATAAAGCAGCGAATCTGACATTCACTGTGTGAATCTTTGCTGGTCCGTATGTTTTAAATGGCAGTGATGGATTCACCCCCAGAGAATGTTTGCTGAATGTCACTTTCACTGCTTTGTAAATACGCCCCTTAGTGCTCTTTGGATTTGTGATTTTCCATTTTTGTTATTGTATTCCAGGAGTCTCCAGACTTTTAGCATGCAGGCCGAAAACAAATACTCATCAGCTCCCCCCTTAAATCAGGGTCCCCATCATGGTCCCTCATCACATCAGGGTCCCCATTATGGTCCCTCATCACATCAGGGTCCCCATTATGGTCCCTCATCACATCAGGGTCCCCATCATGGTCCCCCATCAAATCAGGGTCCCCATCATGGTCCCTCATCACATCAGGGTCCCCATCATGGTCCCTCATCACATCAGGGTCCCCATCATAGTCTTCCATTACATCAGGGTCCCCATCATGGTCCCTCATCACATCAGGGTCCCCATCATAGTCTTCCATTACATCAGGGTCCCCATCATGGTCCCCCATTACATCAGGGTCCCCATCATGGTCCCTCATCACATCAGGGTCCCCATCATGATCCCTCATCACATCAGGGTCCCCATCATAGTCTTCCATTACATCAGGGTCCCCATCATGGTCCCTCATCACATCAGGGTCCCCATCATGGTCCCTCATCACATCAGGGTCCCCATCATAGTCTTCTATTACATCAGGGTCCCCATCATGGTCCCTCATTACATCAGGGTCCCCATCATAGTCTTCATTTACATCAGGGTCCCCATCATGGTCCCTCATTACATCAGGGTCCCCATCATAGTCTTCCATTACATCATGGTCCCCATCATGGTCCCTCATCACATCAGGGTCCCCATCATGGTCCCACATCACATCAGGGTCCCCATCATAGTCTTCCATTACATCAGGGTCCCCATCATAGTCTTCCATTACATCAGGGTCCCCCATCATGGTCCCTCATTACATCAGGGTCCCCATCATGGTCCCCCATTACATCAGGGTCCCCATCATGGTCCCTCATCACATCAGAGTCCCCATCATGATCCCTCATCACATCAGGGTCCCAATCATAGTCTTCCATTACATCAGGGTCCCCATCATGGTCCCTCATCACATCAGGGTCCCCATCATAGTCTTCTATTACATCAGGGTCCCCATCATGGTCCCTCATTACATCAGGGTCCCCATCATAGTCTTCCATTACATCAGGGTCCCCATCATGGTCCCTCATTACATCAGGGTCCCCATCATAGTCTTCCATTACATCAGGGTCCCCATCATGGTCCCTCATTACATCAGGGTCCCCATCATAGTCTTCAATTACATCATGGTCCCCATCATGGTCCCTCATCACATCAGGGTCCCATCATGGTCCCTCATCACATCAGGGTCCCCATCATAGTCTTCCATTTACATCAGGGTCCCCATCATAGTCCTCCATCAGATCAGGGTCCCCATCATGGTCCTTTATCAAATCAGGGTCCCCATCATGGTCCCCCCATCACATCAGGGTGCCCATCATGGTCCCCCATCACATCAGGGTCCCCATTAGCGTCCTACTTAAATCATAATCCCCAATTAGAGTCCCCCTAATATCACAGTCCCCATAATAGTCCCCCTTACATCAGGGTCCCCTTTAGAGTCCCCCTAATATCACAGTCCCCATAATAGTCCCCCCTTACATTAGGGTCCCCTTTAGAGTCCCCCTAATATCACAGTCCCCATAATAGTCCCCCCTTACATCAGGGTCCTCATTAGAGTCCCCCTAATATCACAGTCTCCATAATAGTCCGCCCTTACATCAGGGTCCTCATTAGAGTCCCCCTAATATCACAGTCTCCATAATAGTCCCCCCTTACATCAGGGTCCCCTTTAGAGTCCCCCTAATATCACAGTCCCCATAATAGTCCGCCCTTACATCAGGGTCCTCATTAGAGTCCCCCTAATTTTACAGTCCCCATAATAGTCTCCCCTTACATCAGGGTCCCCATTAAAGTCCCCCTAATATTACAGTTCCCGTAATAGTCTCCCCTTACATCAGGGTCCCCATTAGAGTCCCCTTAGTATCACAGTCCCCATAATAGTCCCCCCTTACATCAGAGTCCCCATTAAAGTCCCCCTAATATTACAGTCCCCATAATAGTCTCCCCTTACATCAGGGTCCTCATTAGAGTCCCCCTAATATCACAGTCCCCATAATAGTCCCCCCTTACATCAGGGTCCCCATTAGTGTCCCCCTAATATCACAGTCCCCATAATAGTCCACCCTTACATCAGGGTCCCCATTAAAGTCCCCCTAGTATCACAGTCCCCATAATAGTCTCCCCTTACATCAGGGTCCTCATTAGAGTCCCCCTAATATTACAGTCCCCATAATAGTCCCCCCTTACATCAGGGTCCCCATTAGAGTCCCCCTAATATCACAGTCCACATAATAGTCCCCCCTTACATCAGGGTCCTCATTAAAGTCCCCCTAATATCACAGTCCCCATAATAGTCCCCCCTTACATCAGGGTCCCCATTAGAGTCCCCCTAATTGGCACCCCACATGTGTGGTGCCAACAGCGTTTACATACGCGTGCGCGACTTACGTGTGCGTTCACCGCTGCATGTGAGTATGGGGGGGGGAGGGGGGCGCTTTGAAATGTTTTTTCCTAGGTTTGTATTTTATCAGTGTTACTTTGTCCCTTTCATTTTTTTATCACTTTTATTTCTAACACAAGAAAATGTAAACATCCCTTGCGGCAATGATAAAGCATGACAGGTCCTCTTTTTTGGGGAGCTCTGCGATCTATAAGGCCCCTCCTCTCCTCTACAATGGAAAGCACTAAATAAAAAACTGATCTAAGGCTCCATTCACACTTGTGTGACGTCGGGTCCAAAGTCACATGACAAGCCGCACCCCGCGTTTCCCAGTGAGTACCGGTCATATCTGCGCGATTTCAAGTCGCAGCGAATTGAAAGCAGTTCCTGCGCTACTTTGGTCTGATTTTCATGCGATTTGAGGGCCATAGACTTCAATGTAAACCCTCCGAAGTAAACGCATGACATGAAAGTCACACCTAAATGAGATACATGAGACACAATCTTCTTTGATCAAAGCCAAAGCTGCACTCGTTCAAAGTCGCACTGTAAGTCGCAATGAAAATCGCATGATTTTGAAGTCGCAAAAGTGCGAATGGAGCCTAATGCTTTAAAAAAAAACAAAAAAAAAACAAACAAACCCCATTTTGCATTGGGCCGGAACCGGAAGTGAGGTCACGCCACTCAACATCCTAGGTTTCTAGGACACAGGCAGCTCCCGCCACTAAACATCCTGGGTTGCTAGGACACAGGCAGCTCCCGCCACTCAACATCCTAGGTTGCTAGGACATAGACAGTTCCTGCAACTCAACATCCTAGGTTGCTGGGACGCAGGCGGCTCCTGCCACTCAACATCCTAGGTTGCTGGATCGCAGGCGGCTCCTGCCACTCAACATCCTAGGTTGCTGGATCGCAGGCGGCTCCTGCCACTCAACATCCTAGGTTGCTAGGACATAGACAGTTCCTGCAACTCAACATCCTAGGTTGCTGGGACGCAGGCGGCTCCTGCCACTCAACATCCTAGGTTGCTGGATCGCAGGCGGCTCCTGCCACTCAACATCCTAGGTTGCTGGATCGCAGGCAGCTCCTGCCACTCAACATCCTAGGTTGCTTGGATGCAGGCGGCTCCTGCCACTCAACATCCTAGGTTGCTTGGACGCAGGCGGCTCCTGCCACTCAACATCCTAGGTTGCTGGATCGCAGGCGGCTCCTGCCACTCAACATCCTAGGTTGCTTGGATACAGGCGGCTCCTGCCACTCAACATCCTAGGTTGCTTGGATGCAGGCGGCTCCTGCCACTCAGCATCCTAGGTTGCTGGATCGCAGGCGGCTCCTGCCACTCAACATCCTAGGTTGCTGGATCGCAGGCGGCTCCTGCCACTCAACATCCTAGGTTGCTTGGATGCAGGCGGCTCCTGCCACTCAACATCCTAGGTTACTTGGATGCAGGCGGCTCCTGCCACTCAACATCCTAGGTTACTTGGATGCAGGCGGCTCCTGCCACTCAACATCCTAGGTTGCTGGATCGCAGGCGGCTCCTGCCACTCAACATCCTAGGTTGCTGGGACGCAGGCGGCTCCTGCCACTCAACATCCTAGGTTGCTGGGACGCAGGCGGCTCCTGCCACTCAACATCCTAGGTTGCTAGGACGCAGGCGGCTCCTGCCACTCAACATCCTAGGTTGCTTGGACGCAGGCGGCTCCTGCCACTCAACATCCTAGGTTGCTTGGATGCAGGCGGCTCCTGTCACTCAACATCTTAGGTTGCTAGGACACAAGCAGCTCCTGCCACTCAACATCCTAGGTTGCTTGGATGCAGGCGGCTCCTGTCACTCAACATCTTAGGTTGCTAGGACACAAGCAGCTCCAGTCACTCAACATCCTAGGTGGCTAGGACACAGGCGGCTCCACCCACCTAACATTCTGGGTTGCTATGGATGCAGCTTAATTATGTAGGTATGTATGGGACCCAATCAGGACTGACCATTTGGGAACTCGGGTCAGTAGGGGGCCCAATGAGATGCCCCTGGTACCTTTCATAGGCTTTTTTGGGTGTAGTTTGAGTGGGCGAGGACACAGAGGCCCCATGATCACCTACTGCCCAGGGGCCCCATGAGTTGTCAGTCCGCCCCAGGACTACAGCGCTCAAAATATTCCTATACGCAGAGCATCACACATCCTCAGTGTCATCAGATACAATGTAACAAATCCTAGCAACAATGTATCACCTGTACAGAGAACAGGACACGCCCCTCACACCTGAAAATGTCTTCATAGGACCACACCCCCCCTCCCCAGCGCCCTGCACAGCCCCGCCCTCTTCCCCTCCTCCAGAGAGGCACACCCCGCCCTCCGCTCAACTCGCTGTGCTCCGGACTGGCTCGGTCACGTGACCCGCACGGCTGATTCGCCTTGCCCACAGCAAAGATGGCCGCCGCCCGCGCCGACACGATACGTCCGCCCGTAGCAGTCACATGACCCGAGCCAGCTGTCAAGATGGCGGCGGACCTGCCTGCTGAATTTGATGTGGTCATCCTGGGCACAGGTGGGTGTGAGGGGCAGAGGGGACCAAAAAAGGGTAACATTGAGCCGGGGAGGGGGCGCAGAACTGGTATAATAAATGTCTATGGTAATAATATGATGGATACATGGGGGGTAATACATCACCTACAGGAAGGGAACAATGTATCACCTGTACAGACTATTATCATCAATACAAGGATGTGTCCCTCCTGTTGTCTGACACCCGGGACAGTTCCGGCGCCCGGCAACAGGTTTGTTTTTTTTTGTTTGCCTTTTTTTTTCCATTTAGTCCCACAACGGGCTTGTTTTTACAAGTAGCGGGAAGAGATGCCCCCCCCCCCCCCCCCCCCCCCCACCCCACTTTCCATGGCTTTCTCGTCTCACCGGAACCGCTCTCTCCGTGGGTAGTGATGAGCGTACGCCGCTTCCGGCTTCCCCGGATATAAACAGCGCCATTTCTAACCGGTTCTTGACTGCGCTATAGCCAAAAGATGGCTACAGAGGAGTTGCCCAATCCTGGGAGGGCATCTATAGATGTTCTACCGGAACCTCACCCCCCTGAAACCCCCTCCCCCCCCCCCGTTTTTTTTTTCGGACACAGCTGATCACAGGGAAATGTAAAGGGCTGATCACAACTGATCACCGAGAAAGGTAAAGGGCCAATCACAGCTGATCACAGGAAAAGGTAAAGGGCTAATCACAGCTGATCACCGAGAAAGGTAAAGGGCTAATCACAGCTGATCACAGCAAAAGGTAAAGGGCTAATCACAGCTGATCACCGAGAAAGGTAAAGGGCTAATCACAGCTGATCACCGAGAAAGGTAAAGGGCCAATCACAGCTGATCACAGGAAAAGGTAAAGGGCTAATCACAGCTGATCACCGAGAAAGGTAAAGGGCTGATCACAGCAAAAGGTAAAGGGCCAATCACAGCTGATCACATTGTAGACAGATTTGATGGTTATCGGCATTTCCTGTCCTCGCGCTGTCACATCATAAGAGGAGAACCGGCCTTTGGGACGGGACATTTACAGTGACCATCAGTGCTGCCCCATCAGTATCCATCTGTGCCACCTTTTAGTGCCTATCAGTGCCGCCCCGTTAGTACCTCCTCATCAGATCCACCTACAGTATTAGTGCCTCCTCATCAGTATTGATCAGTGCTGCCTATCTGTGGCTCCACATCGGTACCCATCTGTGCCACCTTTTAGTGCCTCCCCATCTATACCTATTAGTGCCTTCTCATCAGTGCCCAATGGTGCCGCCTATCAGTGCCTCCCTATCAGCTCCCCACCGATGCCTCCTCTTCAGTGCCACCTATTAGTGCCTTCTCTTTAGTGACTCCTTATCCGTACCTATCAGTGCCCATCTGTGCCACCTATTAGTGCCTCCTCATCAGTACCTATTGGTGCCTCCTCATCAGTGCCTCCTCATCAGTACCTTATCAGTGCTACCTATCAGTGCCTCCTCATCAGTATCTATTGGTGCCTTCTCATCAGTGCCACCTATCAGTGCCGTCTCATCAGTACCTATCAGTGCTACCTATCAGTGCCTCCTTCTCAGTGCCCATCTGTGCCACCTATTAGTCCCTCCTCATCAGCACCTATCAGTGCTTCCTCATCAGTACCTATATGTGCCACCTATTAGTGCCTCCTCATCAGTGCCCATCAGTACCCATCAGTGTTTCCTCATCCGTACCTATCAGTGCCCATCGGTTTCACATATCAGTGCCTATCAGTGCACCCTCATCAGTGTACATCATTGAAGGAGAAAAATTTCTTATTTGATAACTTTTATACCAGAAACTAAGAAGAACACCTCAACTTCAAAGCCGACTGTTCAGTGCAACTTCATTTGACAGATATCAGTGCCAGTCGCAATGAAATCGCACAAACGTAGCGCAGAAAACTTTTTCAAAGTCTCATGACGGGTTGCACTGGTGTGAATCAGGGCTAATACATGGGTCGAATTCTGAACAAATTTTCTTTGTTTTGTTTTTTTTCTTCGAAAATCTGAAGTGTTGGGAAAGCATCTGATCCCCCTGATCGATCTTAGTGACATCAGATGCTTTAAAGGCAGAGGAGAGATCTAGAGTCTAACAGACCCGAGATTTCTCATACAAGAGTACCTGTAAAAGCTTTTAAAGCGTCGCCTGTAAAGATTTACCTAGTTTGTCGCCGTTGCAGTTTTAAAGTGCGACATGTTTGGTATCCGTTTACTCGGCGTAACGTCATCTTTTATATTTTATCAAACAATTGGGCAATATATTGTGTTTTTGTGCATTAACCACTTTCCATCCGGCCGTTGTTTATAAACGGCCAGACGGTGGCACTGCAGGGTCAGGTGGCAGTTTATAAAAACGGCCTCTCTACACCCTGCTTGTGCGCACTCCCTGGGAGTGTGCAGTACCGCGATCTGGTGCCCGCTGTGTCCTCTGAACACAGTGAAACACCGATCGTCGGACGGGACCTCTGTGCGAGGTCCCGATCATGTGATCACTGATTGGCCAATCAGTGATCACATGCAGAGTAGTAAGCAAGATGTCACTTCTGACATTGCTTACTACGTGTGAAATCTGTGAATGATCACAGAGGTCACATGATACAGGGCCATTCACAACAGCCTTGTACCATGTGACAAGCTGTGACCAATCACAGCTCACACAGTATTTCTCAATGGCTGCAGGAATGCAGCCAGAGAGAAGGAGGAATGATTGCTTTTACAGCCTTTATGGGTGTAAAAGCAATCAGTGTAAAAAAAAAAAAAAATCTTCATCACCCCCCACAAGTAGTACAGTGTCACCATGGTGACCCTGTACTGCTAGGGTGACAGTGTGTAAAAAAAAACACATAAATAATATAAAAAACTAAAAAAAAAAAGTTTAAAAATTATACCGTTTGGTTATAAACTAATTTGGGTTTTTTTACTAAAAAAAGAGAGCGGAATAAATGTTGGCCAAGATTTATGATGAAATATTATTTTATTTGCAAAATTTTATAAGAAAAATACTTTTTTTTCAAAATTTTTGGACTTTTTCATTTACATAGCAAAAAAAAATAAAAACCCCAGCAGTGAATAAATACCACCAAAATAAAGCTTTATCTGTCTCAAAAAAATGCTACAAAAATTCATATGGGTACAGTGTTGCATGACCGCGCAATTGTCATTCAAAGTGTGATAGCGCTGAAAGCTGAAAATTGCCCTGGACAGGAAGGGGGTGAAAGTGTCCCGGACTGGAAGGGGGTGAAAGTGTCCGGACAGGAAGGGGGTGAAAGGGTCCGGACTGGAAGGGGGTGAAACGGGTCCGGACTGGAAGGGGGTGAAAGTGTCCGGACTGGAAGGGGGTGAAAGTGTCCGGACTGGAAGGGGGTGAAAGTGTCCGGACTGGAAGGGGGTGAAAGTGTCCGGACTGGAAGGGGGTGAAAGTGTCCGGACTGGAAGGGGGTGAAAGTGTCCGGACTGGAAGGGGGTGAAAGTGTGTCCGGACTGGAAGGGGGTGAAAGGGTCCGGACTGGAAGGGGGTGAAAGGGTCCGGACTGGAAGGGGGTGAAAGTGTCCGGACTGGAAGGGGGTGAAAGTGTCCGGACTGGAAGGGGGGTGAAAGGGTCCGGACTGGAAGGGGGTGAAAGGGTCCGGACTGGAAGGGGGTGAAAGGGTCCGGACTGGAAGGGGGTGAAAGTGTCCGGACTGGAAGGGGGGGTGAAAGTGTCCGGACTGGAAGGGGGAGAAAGTGTCCGGACTGGAAGGGGGAGAGAAGTGTCCGGACTGGAAGGGGGGGGGGGGGGGAAGTGTCCGGACTGGAAGGGGGGGGGGGGGAAGTGTCCGGACTGGAAGGGGGGGGGGGGAAGTGTCCGGCGCTGGAAGGGGGGGGGGGAAAGTGTCCTGGGCTGGAAGGGGGGGAAAGTGTCCGGACTGGAAAGGGGGGGGGGGGGGGGGAAAGTGTCCGGACTGGAAGGGGGGGGGGGGGGAAAGTGTCCGGACTGGAAGTGGTTAAAATAAAAAAAAAGGTGTATACTGTGACATAAAAAATTGAAGCGCCCACCATTGTATTCTCTAGGCCTTTGCTTTATAAAATATATAATTTTTTTTAACTTTCTAAAAAAAATAGAAAAAAAAAAGTTTTTTATTGTAAAGAAAAAAGTGTCAGAAAAGGCTTGATCTTCATGTGGTTAGAAAAGTGGGTGATGTGTGGAAGAAACTTTTGGCCCTGAAATGCCAAGATAGTAGAAGGGCCCCCCCCCCCTTCTCCCCAAATGACCCCTTTTTGGAAAGTAGACACCCCAAGGAATTTGATAGGCATGGCGAGTATTTTGCAGATCTCATTTGTTACCACAAATTTATGGAAAATAAAGAAAGAAAATGAATATGTAATTTTTATTTTTTTTTGTTTTTTCAAAACCCTGTGTCAAAAATGATATCTGCAAAATACTCGCCATGCCTCTTATCAAATTCCTTGGGGTGTCTACTTTCCAAAAAGGGGTCACTTGGGTGGGGTGGGGGGGTGTGTTTGTACTATCCTGACATTTTAGGGACTCTGAAGCTGTGATAGGTAGTGGGGAAGTGACATGAGGAAATATGCTCTTTGAAAGCCTGAAAGTGGTCATACTCAGGAGAAGTGTGCTGGATGTGTGTTGGGGTGTTACTCCACATATGGCCGTGGCATTCATGGGCAATATATCATTTAAGTGACAACTTAAAAAAAAAAAAATGTCAGATTCCAAAAATTTGTGGCAAAAAATAAAATCTGCCATGGATTCAACATGCCTCTCAGTAAATTCCTTTGGGTGTCTGCTTTCCAAAAAGGGGTCAATTGGGGGGTTGTACTGCTCTGGCATTTTAACACCTCGAGAAATGTGATAGGCAGTCAGAAAGTAAAAGCTGCGTAATTTCCAATATACAGTATCTCCCAGAAGTGAGTCCCCCCTCCCCCCCCCCCCCCCCCCCCCCGGACTGTATACAGTGTGTATGTGTGTATATATATACATACATACATACATACATACACACAGTATCTCCCAGAAGTG